GGGTGGAACTCCAGGGGAGGGAGAAAGGCCGGGAAGCCAGGGCTGTGGCAGGAAGGTGGGCCTCCCCCCTGCACGGGCTCTGCTGAGGGCTTTGGGGCCAGTGGTAAGTGCCGCCCTCCCATAGGACCTGTGCGAGCGGCACGAGCGGGGGGTGCTGCACAAGCACCAGCGCGCCCTGCACAAGTACAGCCTGATGAAGAGGCAGATGATGAGCGCGGCTGTGCAGAACCGTGAACCCGAGTCCGTGGAGCAGCTCGAGTCCCGCATTGTGGAGGTAGGCAGGAGGTGGCTGTGGGTGACAGGCCCACGGGAGCTTCTGGCTCTGACTGGAACCCAGAGCCGTCCTTGTTGCACCCAGAGGGGCGTCCCCCTGGTTCATGGTGCTCTCTTCCCTGGGCACCTTCCAGATTCTCTGTTACAGAGGGGAGGAGCAGAGCCCTTGGCTCAGGACGGGTGCTGCATGGGCCTCCTGCTCTTCCTGCCCTCAGCTAGGCCAGGCGCAAAGGGAGGCTTTTTCCTTTGCAGCAAGAGAATGCAATTCAGACCATGGAGCTTCGAAATTATTTCTCCCTCTACTGCCTGCACCAGGAGACGCAGCTCATCCACGTCTACCTGCCCCTCACCTCCCACATCCTCGGGGCCTTCGTGAACTCCCAGATCCAAGGGCACAAAGAGGTGAGCCTGCCTGCCCTGACCCTGTTGTGCCAGTGCCTTTCCTCCAAGCCTGGCGGCCCTGGCAGCTGGCTGACCCGAGAAATGGTTCGGCGGAGTTGGGGTCTGCATGGGGCCCTAAAGCGTAGCTCTTGCTCAGATCTCCTGGTCTCTGTGAAGCCAGAAGCGTAATTGTGAAGTTGTCCTCATGATCCTTCGGGGTGAGGTGGTGGCAGGGCGGAGAGCCACTGCACAGGGATGGTTTCCTTCCTTCCGAGGCACCCAAGAAGTCAGAGGTATGGCTTGGAGTTCCCGAGCCCTGGGGCTGAGTGAGAGGTGATGGGAATCAGGTTTGAGCCATTACTGCAGGTTGGATGTTCTGAAAACCCCTGGTCAGCGTCCTCCAGATGGTGGTTTCTGAGGTCTTAGAGGTGACACGGTCTGAGTTGTCCTCAGCAGGCTCCTGCCCTGGGGGCCACGTGACTGTGGCCTATGTCCATCTCCAAACAACCTGGAAGGCTTGTGTGTCTGGCCAGGCTGAAGAAACACCGAGAAAATGGCCAGTGTCCGGTTCTTTTCCCCTCTGTGTGGTCCCTACGGCCTCCTACCTGCCGATTTTTGTCCTTCCTTTTTCCTTGGCCCTTGGGGCCTACAGTGAGTGTCAGAGTCACAATCACCCCCTACACAGGGCTGTGTCTTCCTGTGGCCCCCCAGCTCCTGGATGTAGTGAGAGGAGCTCAGGCCAGAATGAGTAAACCCCTATCAGATCCCAGCTCCACAACTATGATGATCTCTTATGACCTCCGTGGCTCGGTTTTCCCATCTGAAAAATGACAAAAAGTATGAGCCTACCAGCTTTCCAAGATGGGCCTGGGCAGTCAGCAGGGGGTGGATCAATGCAGCGATCACTTTGTGGTAGCCACCTGGGCCCAGGTCCTTGACTGGTGCTGGCACCAGCTGGTTTACATCTGTCCCTGTCACTGAGGAACACACACGAGAGAGCTGGGCTGTTCAGAGGGGGTGTGTCTCGTGCTCTGTCAGGGTTTGCACAGAGTCCAGGGTCCGCGGTGGATCCATCCAGGGAGCTGGTGGTTCTGTGAGCAGGCCCAGGACCACTGTGCACCAAGGTCGTTGGCAACCGTGTGGGGTGGGTTGGGGTGGACGATGTAGGGTGTCAGACCATTTGGGAGGCAGCTGCAACTGGCCAGGTCAGTGGCCATCTGTACCCTGGTCTAGAACCAGTTCCTGCCAGAACCACCTGTTTGTTTGAGATGCAGATTCTGGGGCGCAAAGCCTGCCCCTGACCTATGAAGTCAGAATCTCTGGGGTGTGGACTCGGACATCTGTGGTTGGCAGTGGGAGGGCCATGGTGGCTTGGAGGAGAGCCCAGGTCCCCACCCTGCTGACCTGTGATCTTCTCTCCCTCAGATGAGCAAGGTATGGAACGACCTGAAGCCCAAGCTGAGCTGCCTCTTTGCGGGACCACACAGCGCGCTGACCCCGCCACGCTCCCCACCAGAGGATGGCGTGTGTCCTCACTAGTGCCTGAGGCCGTGATGACGAGAGCTCCCTGCGGCCTCACTAAAGCCTCTTTCCAAACGCTGTGTCCCTGTTTCATTCCCCACCCTGTGGTGTCCCCTGGTTGGAGCCAGGCCACTGGACCATCTTGCGCCCATCTTGCGACATCCATGGAAACAGCGGACCACTCGGGGGCTGCCACACCCCCTTATCCTCTGACGGCTCCTCCCGCTGTGAGAGTCCAGCCTGGCCAGTAGGCGCAGGTGCTGGGATTCTCTGCAGTGATTTCTCTTCCTGCCCTGTGGGGGGAGGGCAAGGATTGTGTCTCACAGCAGATAACACCTGGAGGAGCGTTGGGGGTGAGGGCTCCAGGTTCTAGAACAGTCTGAGGGACTGCTCTTGGGGGCTGGGTCAGTGAGCAAGGGAGAAGGAGGACAGGACTGCTCTGTGGCTGGATGTGATGGCTGACTACTGCCACTGGGTCAGAGTGTTACCTGATGCCTGCAGATACTTCCTGGTGGTGTCACTGTGCCGTGCTTGTGCAGTAGCTGGATAGAGAAGGTGAGGCAGCCATCTGCTGCTACAGAAGGTTGCTGGATGCAAACAGTGTTAGTTTCTAGGGTCTGTCGCTCCAGTGAATGCCTCAAGCCCTGGTCTGGGACTGACCCCCAGGACTGAGTATCCTTGTGCTACTCCATGCAGACATGTGACCCTGTGTGTACCCCATGGTCTGAGACATGGAGGACAAATGCAGGACTGTGGCTCCTCCTGTCCGTCTGCGTGCTGGAAACTGTTTTTTCCACTGCATGGATTTCCCTCGCTTTTGGGCGGCCAGCGTCCCCACACTATGTGGCATTGAGGCTGGAAGGGTGGGCAGAGGACAGGCAAGGGGAGCAGGGAATACATTCTCTTTTAGCTGGGGCTTTATAGGGGGAATCTGTGTTGTTGGAGTTGACCTCCTTTTAAACAATTTCCTTCCTTTGGGCAACTAGAGCCTCCTCCCAGCTTCCCTCCACGTACTTGCTGGCCCAGCTGCCCACTCATGGAGGGACCAGCCATCCTTTGGGCCATTCCCCTTCTTGGGATGAAGAAAGCCGTTTTCCCGAGCTCTGTGCGATGAGAATGACCCGTAGGCTTGGACATGTTACTCCCCGAATCCTGTTTGTAGCTCGCGTGTGTGGCCTTCCTCCAAGGGCTGGCAGCCAGACTGGCCTCCCTGGCGCCCCACTGGTGTCACTGGCTAGGTAGAGACGCTGGAAGAGGTGCTATCGGACTGCAGGGTTTCTGATGTTCCTCCCGTCCAGGGATACTTTCCCCTCATTCTGATGCAGGATTCCTCCTTTGTCCAGGATGCGGGCCCTGGGGCAGGAGCGGGGCTCGCTCTGTGTGCTGCACAGATAGGTGACCTTTTGCGATAAGCCAGTTCACATACACAGGCCAGAGGGACCATCAGGGCCTTTTTGTGCTGCAAGTAGTCGAGTTGGGTTCTGGGAGGACACGGTGCTGTGGGACTTGGGTCCACCCCTGCCATGGGGCCGGCTGCTCCCTCCTGGCCAGAGGAGAGAACAGAGTTCCCATAGGATGGAAGTTTGGAGATTGACTAGCCTGGATCTGAGGGGCAGGGCTGTGTTTGCTTTTTGCGCTCTCTGTAGAAACAAGTTCTCAAACACTTGAGTAGGCCTGTGCTGCGCATGGGACTGCTGCCTGCTGATGCTGTGATGCTTGGGACTTTAAGCCTGACCCTGTTTGGGCAGAAGGCTGCAAGGTGTCCTGTCCTGTCTTGCTCAGGCCCATCCGGCTATGGGACTGGGGGATCATGGGGGAAGAGCTGTGGGCATTGGTGCTGGAGTATCGGGTAGGCAAGGCATGCACTCTTTAATCAGACCCTGAAAGAGAGTCCTAGAACCGAGATTTTCCAATGAACTTTCCTGAAAAGAACTTTACTCCTGGGTGAGTGTGTGTGTTAGATCACTTGCCTGGTGACCTCTCCTCATAGTGGAAACTCTTCAGGAACAAGGTCCTTGGGTTGTGTTTTGGAGACTGAGGATGAGGGTGTAGTTGAGAAGAGCAGGGTGGGAGGGATAGGGAGGAGTGGTGAGGAGGGGATGGGTGAGCAGGAGGATGAGGAACAGAAGGGCAGGGGTGATGAGGGTAGGGGGTGAGGGTGAGGTGGACAGGGATAAGGGGGAGGGAGGTGAGGGTAGGGATGAGGGGGAAGATGACTGGTAGGGAAGTGAGGGTAGGGGTGAGAGTGAGGAAGGCAGGGGTGGGGAAGAGTGTGGATTCTGTGGAGATGGGCACCCTTCCCATAGTCCTGCCTCTCCCACCCCCAGGTGCTTCCTAAAGGTCAGCAGGATGAGCCCTGCTGGACAGGGCAGTTGGCTGGGGGATGGCAGAGCCCACCTCCCTTTTCTGTCCTTCGGCTGTGGGCTGCCTGCCTCACCTGGCCTGGTGGGGGGACTACAGTGCGTGACCCTGCCTGGAGATGCTGCCTGCTGTTGATCCTGTCCAGGCAGCTGATCCTGTTGAGGTTGAAGGCCTGCGTGGTGGGAGGGGGGTGGTGGCTTTGTAGATGGGCAAAGGCGGACATTTCCATCAGACTCTCCTGGCCTGTGCCCAGCGCATGAAGGGGAACCGTGCAGATACCTGGCGTTGGGCCACGGAGGCAGCACTGGAGGCAGGCTGCAGCAGGGACTGCGAGTCAGAAACGCTCTGCATTTGAGGCCTTTTCTCTTGCTTTGCGCGAGGTAGTTTATGTATGAAGCACTTTATAAGGCTGCAGGAATCAGTTACTACTACACGCAATAAACTGGAATTGTTTACAAGCAGTCTACGTGCTGGGGTTTTTAATTGAACTTATGGGAACATTGTTACTAAATATGTATGAAGTTGGGTCAGGTTGTAAGTTGTGTAGCAGGTGGTTCGACTTGGGGCAGGCGAGGGGACCAGCCTATGATGCATTAGACTTGGTATTAACCCTAAGCCCTTGACCATGCCTCAGTTTCCCCCACTGCAAAAGGATGACTCACAAAAGGGGGTGGTGGTGAGAGGGTGTGTCCTCTGGCCTGGGGTGCTGAGCACGCACGTGGACCTCCACCAGCTGTCACTGCGGGGATTGTCAGGGACACTGTCCTCCCCAGTAGCCCAGCATCTCCTCTCCCACCCTGTCCCTCAGCGTGGGTCGGCCCAGCACCCCTGGCAGCCTCCTGCGGAGAGGAATGGGCTGGCTGTGCTGGTGCCTGGCACCACGGTTTGGAGGCAGAAGACCTTTATTTTCCTTTCCATCCAGTTGTGTTCCAAATCCAGAGGGAATCAGGCCAGCTGTGTCAGTGGGTGTGGCTGTGTTAATAACAGGCTGGGCCAGCCCTGACCTCCTGCTAGACGGTGTCTACCTCTTGCAGGGTGTAGTCCAGGATGGTGTGCTGACCCTGGAACTTGAAATACCCTTGGAATTTCTTCTTCTGAAGCAGGAGTGGAAACCAGTAGCAGTCGTCAGGCCACATGTCGCTGAAGGGGATCTGGTCCAGTGGGAACCACTGAGGGCGCATTTCTGTACAAGGGGTGGAAAGGAAGAGCATTGGTGTTCACCCCAGATTTACACTAAACTGACATTCTTCCCCATCTCACCCTCACGACCGCGGGCTGGTGTGTGGTGACCTGGTTGTGTGCTGGAGGGAGGCAGGCCTGCGGGGCTGGCCTGGCGCTCAGGCCTCGTGTGGGCTGGTGGCCTTTCTCCCATCTGAGCAGTGAGACCAGGCTTCCTACCAGGTCTCCTACCCACGGGTGTGGGGAGCAGGGAGCAGCCCCGAACTCACCATCGCTCTCCACGGGGGTTCCTTGGACCTTGTCTGTGCAGAAGATGTGCACGTCCATCAGCTCAGGCTCACCCTGGAACTCAAACATGACCCGGCCCACCTTGTGCAGCGTGTCCACCACCAGGCCACTCTCCTCCCACAGCTCCCTGTGGGCAGAGGTGGAGGGAGGAAGCAGGTTGGCAGCAAGGCACCCGTACCCCCACACAACCCCAACCCGGAGAATGGTGAGGGGAGGGAGGAAGATAGCCACATGTGTGCAGTGGCCCAGGAGTACCCCAATGGATGCATGGGTTGGGAGCCTAGGGGGATGTCACTTAGAATGCATTAGTAGGTCCCAACCTGACTGAGCTCTGGAATTAACTTGAACTTTTAAGAAACTGATTTTGTTACAGGGGCTCTGGGGAGGGACCACAAGTTTGGGGTGCACAGGCCTAGTTGAACACCCTCTAGGTACCAGATTACAGCCATGGCCTCAAGACAAGTGGGTGGCAGGGCTGGGATTGACAGCCCTTCCTCAGACTCTTCCCCATGCTCTTCCCTCAGCAGAGCTTCACAGCAGTCTCCTGATTGAGGCTCCAGGAGCCCAGACCCTGCCCCTTCTTCCCCCAAAATGTCTCTTCAGCCTCGTGCCCTTGCTCTGATTCACAGGGTCAAATTGAAGCCCTCTGGGGCCTCTTTCCTGCAGGAGGAGCTCTCATGTTAAGTTTGGTTCTGCCAGGGAGCCAGTACCCTGCACAGGTGAAACATACAGGACAAAGACTTTGGCCTCTCTGGCTGTGGACCCCTTCTCGGGATGCTTTCCCCGGCACAGCCAGCTGTGTGTGGAGGGTGCTGTAAGGGGCTGATCTCGCCAGGGAGCACTCAAGTGCTCCTATGGCTTGGAACAAGCCCTCTCACTGCACACAGCCAGAACTGCTCCCCTTAAATAGTCTAATGCTGTTGCTAATTTAAATTTATTTTAAAAATTACATATTTGTTGTAGACAACCCAGGAAACAGAACACACATGAACTCATCACTGAGAACCCTCCGTGCCATTTCAGTGTTTTTCCTTGGAGGTGGGGGTCTTTCTCATCCCTTTACAAAATGCAAACATCATTTATACCTTGTGCTTTTTTCAAGAGGGGTGAGTGACATTCCACACCTCAAGGAATCCAACCAGTTTCTCAACTGTTGTGTATTATGGAAAAATAAAATATTCCAACTTCTGGCTATTGTGCAAGCCTGTGACAAGCAGCTTCTCATCCTGAGCAAATTGCTTGTTGTGCTTGCTTGGTTTCTCGTTCAACCTCTTAGCAGATACTTCTGAGAAGACCCTGCTCGGGACCCTGGGGACCCACAGCCACTGCAGCCCTGAATCGCAGCCTGTTTCTCCCTCAGAGTCGTTTCTCACTTCTCCACTGCCTGGTATTTACTGGTTTCTGTAAAATCATTCTTATTATGTTTGGCCGTTTATTGTCGTATATAAAAAATTTTTTTAGCTTTGATCTCTAAGTTACATTAGGGACACAATGCATGATCACTTTCTGCCTTTAATTAGGAAAACTGCTTTGTTCATTTAAGAAACACATGTTGGGTTAAACAGACTTGGGATCTCCGGGCTGGAGAGGAAACGCAGACCTAGACTGGCATTTGCTCATGGGGTTAACACTGGACTTGACCTAACAAGATGTGTGTGTGTTGTCACCTGGGGAGGTGCAAACGGCCCCCCAACTGAATGTAGCAGAAACGCTCTGCAGGGCTCACCCGCCTCTTTGGCAGCAGGCTGGTGCTTATCTTAAAAACTTCACCTACTGATAGAATGTTTTGACTAATTTTAGTTAATTTTCTGAGTACACGGACGTGTATGAAATGTCAATAATCTCCTTGGTGGCAGAGCTAAAGCTCCGTTTCACAGGCTGGGATAATTAGGCAGACGAAGACGACACTGCCACAGTCCTGCTGAAGTGTCTGAGTATCTCTGATGCTCAGTTCCCCAGACAGCAGGCACATGAGTAGTAAATTAAAAACAGAGCAGCCAGCACCTCTGTGGTGTGGAGAGATGGTGGGCATGGGAAGCCCTGTGGCAGTCCTGCAGTCCTTGCTGCTCTCTGTGGGTCAGGGATGCTGGCTAGAAAGAGCAGCTCGTGCCATACATTGGATGACCTGGGCTCCACATACCCTAGTCCAAGTGCCTGTCTGGGGGGAGTGGGACTGAGTCCCCACTCACGCCTATCCTGCAGGTGAGTGTGGAGGGCCTGTTCTTTTTTGGATCCCTCCAAATAGAACAGGGCAGCGTCGTGGTGGACAGAGCCTGTGCCAGACTCCACAACGCTCTCCTGAACAGCCGGGGCTGGGGCTGCCAGGCACCAGGAGGTCTCCAAAGGGAGGCTGCACTCAGACATGCAGGTGAGGAGGCCTGGCAGTGTGCAGCCTGGGGCTAATGGCAGGTCTCCCCCAGGATGGGCAAGGCTGTTTGGGCCCTGGGGACCCCTAAGTGCCAGCCTGATTTCAGCGTTTCCCGTGTCTCACGTGTATAGACGGTCTCCAACATAGGATCTTTTGACTTGATGGTGTGAAAGCACAAAGGGTTCAGTAGCAACTACTTCTAGTACTCAGGCAACCATTCTGTTTACTTTCAACACAGTGTTTGATAGATTACACAAGATACTCAGCACTTTATTATAAATAGGCTTTGTGCCAGATCATTTTGCCCAACTGTAGGCTAAGGTAAGTCTTGTGAGCACGTTTAAGGTAGGCTAGGCCTAGCTAGGATGTTCAGAAGGCTAGCTGTGTTATTACAAATGCCTATCTGACTCATGATATTTTTTTTTTTTTTTTTTTTTTGAGACAGAGTCTCGCTTTGTTGCCCAGGCTAGAGTGAGTGCCGTGGCGTCAGCCTAGCTCACAGCAACCTCAAACTCCTGGGCTCGAGTGATCCTTCTGCCTCAGCCTCCCGGGTAGCTGGGACTACAGGCATGCGCCACCATGCCCGGCTAATTTTTTATATATATATCAGTTGGCCAATTAATTTCTTTCTATTTATAGTAGAGACGGGGTCTCGCTCTTGCTCAGGCTGGTTTCGAACTCCTGACCTTGAGCAATCCGCCCGCCTCGGCCTCCCAAGAGCTAGGATTACAGGCGTGAGCCACAGCGCCCGGCCTGACTCATGATATTTTTAACTCTTGATGGGTTTACCAGGATGTAGCCCACTGTATGTTGAGGAGCATCTGTACTGAATGTTAGGTTATTAAGTATGAAATGTCTGATTTCCTTAAGTACTAAGTTTGACAGGTGATAGCTCTGACATTTCACTTTGACACTTCTTGTTTTTTCCCTATTGTGAAGGTACATCCTCAGTCTTTCAAACGCACACTTTGGCTTGTGATTATCTTTCACATTTTTTAAGAGCAATTTTTGTGAAACTATGGATAAGTCAAAACGTGTTAGTTTCGAATATGAGTTCCATCATGGAACCAATGCAGCGCAGACAGCTCGAAATATCAACAAAGCGTTTGGGAACGATGGGGCTAATGAACGCACATGGTAAGTCGATGGTTTGAGAAGTTCTTTTCTGGTGATTGTAATCTTGAAAATGAGCCACCTGGGTCTCAGAGTCATGTGGGTGATCTGAGACCAAGGTGGATAATGAGTTGAAAGCTGTAGTGGAAGCGAATCCATCTCAACCTACTTGTGAATTAGCAGCAAAGTTTGATGTTACTATTCCAACAATATTGGACCATTTGAAACAAATATGCAAGGTAAAGAAGCTGGATAGATGGGTTCTGCATGAATTAAACAAGAATCAGAAGAAAGATGATCTCGAAGCTTGCCTTTCCTTGCTGTCACAACATGAAAGGGAACCATTTCTACAGTGTTGTTATGTGTGATGAAAAATGAATTCTTTTTGATAATTGCAAGCGTTGGGCACAATGGTTGGATACAGATGAAGTGCTGAAACACAGTCCAAAATTTAACATTCATCAAAAAAAGTTAATGTGGTCCAGCGCTGGCATTATCCACTACAGCTTCATGAAACTTGGTCAATAAATGACAGCAGATGTCTACTGCAACCAAGTGGATGAAATGATGAGGAAGCTTACAATTAAGCAGGTGAGACTGGTCAACAGAGACAGGCCAAAGCTCTTGCATGACAATGCTTGACCACATGGCACCTAAACAATGCTGCTCAAACTACAGTAGTAGTTTGACTTGGAAACTTTCTGTCATCCACAGCATTCGCCAGACCTTGGTGTCAACTGACTACCACTTCTCCCAGGCTTTGGACCATTTCTTGCAAGGAAAGATTAAATTTCTCAGCAGCTGTGGAAAATGCCTTTCGTGATTTCATTGCTACTTGCTCTCCAGGCTTCTTCACTGCTGGCATAAACAAGCTACTGTTAAGATAGCAACACTGTTAGTAGTTTAGGCACATACTTAGATTAATTGTACTGCTTCTTATTTGAGATATAACAAACTACACTTTTGATTTGAAATCAGACAGTTTATATTTAATGACCTAATATTTGGGGACTGCAGCGCTCTGCCACCCAGCATGCCTCTCTCATCCCACACACGGGCAGGGCACAGAGCTTTGTCAGAGGGTGCCCCTGCCCTTGAATGTATCCTAGCTCCTGCGTGCCCTACATGCTGGGCTGGTGCCCCAGGGCAGAGAGGCCCAGCCTGATGAGACCCACAGAGCACCTTTTCAGAGCTGGCCAGAGGTCCTCAGGAGCTGGTACAGCAGTACAGCACATGGCCCAGGTGCTGAACTTTGACCTCAGTCCCAGGGTCAAGCCTGTCCCTGCTTTGAGAAGTCTGTGAGGTTAGGAAACCGCTCATGCATCCAGGCCGTGGGAAGCAGCTGTCTCTTCAGGGAAGAGCAGGTCCTTGCAGATGCTCAGGTATCAGAAAGGTAACAGCAGAGAGCTGGGGCAGCCCCCACCCCACCTGAGCCACAGGGAAGGGATCTAACTAAGTGAATAAGTCTGCACAATAAAAAGGCCCTTGATGTTAAAACCATTCTGTCATCTGCAGTGAGGAGGAGGCCTAACCATCTAGGGCCCACTGAAGGCCTTCCCTATGCAGGTACCCGAGGAACAGTGGAAAAGGAGGCAGACGTGGTTTCATGTCTCATACATCATTGAGCCATAGCAGGGGAGAGTGCGGTGCAGGGAAAAGATGGCCTTTTGATAAATGATGCTACGCCAACTAGATACCTTTATGGAAAAGCCCAATCTGACCTCCACACCTACACCAGACACAACTCAATTCCTGACGGACTGTAGATCTAACATTTTAACAAGTTTTAGAAGAAAACTTGGGAGAATATTTTCTTATGCTTGGGATAGGCAGGTTTCTTCAAAAGGATCTACAAAATGCTAACCATAAAGAAAAAAATTATATGGGATTACATTAAAATGATAAACTTCTATTTATCAAAATGTTAAGAGTAAAAAGGCAAGCCACAGAGTAGAAGATATTTGCAATACATGTATCTGATGACTTACATCTACAGTGTATAAAAAACTACAAGTCAGTAAAAAGGCAACCCAGTTAAAAAATGGGCACAAGACTTGAGCAGACACTTCACAAAAAAGGACATCCAAGTGGCCCGCAGACATTGGGATGGTGCTCAACTTTATTAGTCATTAGGACAGACAAAACCACAATTGCCACAATCCCCAGATCAGCTACAATGAGAAAGACAGAAAATATCAAATGATGTTGAAGATTTGGAGGAACCAGAACTTATTCATCCTGGTGGGAGTTTAGACTCTGGAAAACTGGCAATATTCACTAAAGTTGAACACGTACAGTCTTCCTCCTAGGTAACTGCCCACCAGGGAAGAGTACATATGGCCAAAAAAATAAAAAAACACAGGACTGTTCTCAGCAGTGCCACTTGCAATAGCACCAAAATAGACCCCCCCCCCCGTTGCCCGTCCACAGCAGAATGGATAAAGTGCATGTTCATATGCTGGAATACCATAAGACAATGTGAAGGAATAAACTTCGGCTACATGCAAATGTAATGTTGGAAAGAAGCCAGATAAAAGGGCACATCATGTGTGATCCTGTCTGTGATGTTTTAGAACAGGCCAAAATCAACTGTGCCAGAAGTCAGGGTGGAGGGCAGGGCCCACAGTCCATTTCGATTTCTTGGTCTACATGTTGGCTAAATAGGTGGACCCACTTTTGAAAAATGGAGATTTGTGCAATCTGCTCTATCTGTATTACACTTCAATAAAAACTTATGTCACTGAGTGGGGAAGGGAATAATTAAATGTGACCAGGAAAGGTGAGAGTGCTGTAAAGGCAATCAACAGGATGAGATTTATTGAGAACAGCAGGGTCAGTCAGGGGAAGGCACCTTCTAGATGTGAAGGCTGAGGAGCTGCAGCCAGGGGAGGAGCCAGGGAGAGCGGGGTGGGCAACAGCTTGGAGTGTCTGAGGGGAGATGGGGTGGGGGGTTATTTTGAGGGCGCTGGGAGCTGTTAAAGGGTTTTAATGTGCTGGTGTGAGTCTGTGCTTGGGGGCAGGGGAAACCCAGATCCGTTTTGGGGAAGGCCACCTGGCAGCTGTGTGGAGCTGACCTGCAGAGGGAAAGGGAGGGGATGGGCTGCTGTCCTGTCCAGCTGAGGGGTGCTCTACCTGGGTGCAAGTTACAGCTGCAGCTAGAATTACTGCTTCTTTTTTTTTTTTTTTTTTTTTTGAGACAGAGTCTCACTTTGTTTTCCAGGCTAGAGTGAGTGCCGTGGCGTCAGCCTTGCTCACAGCAACCTCAAACTCCTGGGCTCAAGCGATCCTCCTGCCTCAGCCTCCCGAGTAGCTGGGACTACAGGCATGCGCCACCATGCCCGGCTAATTTTTTATATATATATCAGTTGGCCAATTAATTTCTTTCTATTTATAGTAGAGACGGGGTCTCGCTCTTGCTCAGGCTGGTATTGAACTCCTGACCTTGAGCAATCCGCCCGCCTCGGCCTCCCAAGAGCTAGGATTACAGGCGTGAGCCACAGCGCCCGGCCAGAATTACTGCTTCTTGTGCTGTACTCAGCTTCCTCCTCCATCTCAAACCCAGGCCTGAGGGGGAACCTCCACCTATGTTCAGTATTGAGGGTCTAGAGTGATGCCCTGTGTTTATGTCTCATTCAAGAAATGAGTACTATATAGAGTGCAGGAGGAAAAGTTCCCTAGACCCCAAGAAAGTCTGTACGAAAATAAATCAAGGCTGCAAGTTTGCTTGTCACCAGCAAGATAAGAGCTAAAATTCAGCCACCAGAGCTCTTCCCATCCAGTTTCCTCAGCCCCTTGCCCTTCCCCACTCTCCCTGCATGGCCCGAGGCCCTTCAGCCCTCCCTACGTCTGTGAATGCCCTGTTCCCCACTCTCTGGTCTCTGCCTGTTGTCGGGGCCTTAGGGAGTTTTCCTTGTGCCCAGTTATTATTCACCATGCCTCTTTGTCCTGGACGCCCTGAGCCCCAGGCATGGACCAGACCTCCTTTCTGTACAATCTCCTGACCCAGCCACCAGATGAGATGTGCCCCTGCAGGGGCAGGGGCTGTGATATGTTCCTCTGTGTCCCTGAGCTTGACACAGGGCAGTGCTACATTAACCTGATGGGCAGTCTCAGAGGATCAAAGACAGTCAAATGGTTGGCCAAGCAGGCCTCTGTGGTGGCCAGCTCCCATGCTGTTGCTTCTGCACACACCCTGGCATGGGCACAGGCTGGCTGTCCCTCCCCAGTTGCAGCCTCCCAGCATAGCACTATTTGTACTGGCACTGCCACAATGACTAAATGTGTCCACTTGGCAGTAGCCCTGGGTCCCAGGCCTTGGAGTGGTGCACTTCGAGGGACGTCACATGCAGAGCTCTTCAAATGGAGGGCTGTGACCCAGTTGTGCTCTGTGAAATCAACTTAGTGGACTGCAACCAGCAATTAAAAAAAACAGAATAGGAGGTATTAGAGTTTCATGTAATGGCGTCATTATATGCCACTTATTCCAGCTGTATGTGTATAATAGTGTGTGTATGCTCTATGAGCATGTAAGATATCTTTCTTACTGAGGGTTGTAATGAAAAAAACTTGAAAGCCACTGGGCTGCAACATCCCAGCTTCCCTCTTCTCCAGGCCCCTCTTTACCATGTATTTGGGGTTTTGTTCTCTCCAGGGAAAGTAGCCTCAAGGTTGCCAACCTTCTCAGAGCGAGAATAACATTAGCAGGAGCTAACATTTGTGCAGTGCTTTGTCATGTTTACACAGAGATCTCATTTATCTGCACAAACTGGAGGAGCAGGAGGGCAGAGAGGCTGACGTTCTTGACCTCTTGAGGCAAGTGCTTGACCTCTGGCCTCAGTCCCTTCCCATGTGAAGCCAGTTGTGTTGAGGATTAGGTGAGACTGTGTACAAAAGATTTTAGATGAAAACGATCATTAGCTCCTCTGAACAAACGTAGAACCCAAGTGATTGATAAGCCCTTGAGCAGTGCAGTTGAGACAGCCTAATCGGTCAGCTCAAGCCATAATCACAGCAGCTTCCCAGATCTATCCTAAAACACATCGCCACTGCCACGCAGCAACAGCTACACATACTCAGCACTCACCACAGGCCAGGCGCTGTTCTAAGTCCTTTATGTACATTTTCTCATTTAATCTTCACAAAAATCCTAAGAGGTACTGTGCTTATTTGCATGTTGAGATGAAGAAACAGGCTTGTGGGTTAAGTACACACTCCAATTAGCCCACAGGCTGAGGCCTTATGCCCCACAGGAAACTGGGTCTGTGGTCCTACCTGTCTCTTCCTTACCTCTTGGCTCCATCCTCGATGGTCTCGCCTTCAAGCACTTTGCCCCCGAAGCCATTCCACCGGCCAATCCCGAAGCCTCGTTTTTTCATGCCCAGGAGAACTCGCTGGGGCTGCAGCACCAGCACCAAGGTATACAGCCTGGAGGTGCCCATCTGAGAGTAAGGCAAGAGGGTAGGGTCAGCGTTGTTTTGGGTGTGGATGAAACATGTATTGGGTGGCCAGTGGCCGGGGACTGCACTCCAGTGGGGGGGTTGGTGGTAATTTCCCAGCTCTGCCACAAGTGGCTCCTTGTGGCAGGTGGAAATCTGCCATTGAACAAATGATTTTCTGGAGTGACAGGCCTGGCCCTCAGAACCCAGTGGCATCAGTGCCAAGTCCTTTGCTTGCCAGGGCGGACCCACAGGTGCGAGGACAGCTCCCTCTCCCTCTCTATACCCAGCTACAGAGGGCAACACAGCCTTTCCATGGAGGGCTCTTGTTCCCATGCCTACTCCCAGGAACTCCAAGCCCGTATGCACAAACAGTAGGGCAGACCTGCCGCTGTTCCCCAGCTGGCACCAAAATAATAATGCATTTATCTAATAGTTGATAGGTCATGTTATGGCGTTGGCCTTTTCATTAACAGGTGCTTCTTTTGGCCCATTGGGATCTGGCCTCTGTCTCTGCAGCAGCAGGCTTCCAGACTCCCAGGAAGTGCCTGGCTCTGGGCAGGGGCAGGTCCACCCATCGAGGCTGGGCTGGTCCTCCCTCCTGTGTAGGAGCTCATACTCTACTTACTCTGCTCTTACTGCTGCTGTGGGACCTGGCACTCAGGGTGGACACTGGAGCCACAGAGGCCCTTCTGCTCCAACAGATGTACAGGTCCTGAGAAAGGCTCTGAAGGGGATACCTTGGCTAGGGTCCCTGCCGGAGGACCAGGACCAAGTTTCCTGTTGCTCTCTCCCTATCCCCGGCCTGGGGACCACACCTGGCTAAGATGCAGGGTTCAGGACCTTGGAAGTTACGGTGTCTGAGAAAAGGGACCCGAGGCTGGGTCCTGATGCTGCTGGTAGGTCAGATGGAGTAAGCAGGTGTGTGGCTGAGCTCCTGATGAGGCCTCTGTACTTTGTCCTGACACTGATCTGTACGTTCCAGAAGCCCTGGCCTCCTGGGTAAAGCTTGGTGATGGTGATACCAGCTATCATTTATTAAGCACTGACTATATACTTCTTTAAAAAAAAGTATCCCATTTAAAAGATCCAACAACTGTATGAATTAAGACTTGCTTTCTCTATTTCTAGAGGGGTAAATTGAAGCTCAGAGAGGCTATCTGACCCAAGGCCTAACAGCAGAGCCAGTAATAAAACCTGGGTCTACTGGACGCCAGAGTCTAGTTGTGTCCACAGCTCCAGGAGCAGCTGCTACATGGGGCACTCTGGTGCTCAGACAGCTGCCTAAGGTTAGGGCCTGGGGCGCTTGTTAGCCACGTGGCCTGAATCTGGTCAGTAAACTGAGGCCCTTTACCAGGTTGAGACGCGGAGTAAGGGCTCGTTCCTACACACAGTGAACACGCAGCAAATACCTGGTACTGCAGCCCACACCAGGTCCCCACTCCCGCCCTCCCGCCCGCGCTCACCAGGCCCATGGCGACCCCTTTCCGGCCCCCCAAACCCGGCTGCCCGGCTCCCCGTTTCCCTGGCTCCCCAGCCCGGCGCGCTTCCAGCTCCCGGCCCCCCGCTCCCCCTTCCCTTCTCTGCGTCTCCCCGGCTCCCGGCTCCCTCCCAGCTCCCGGCCACCCGTCCCCCGTTTAACTGCTCTGCGTACCCGGTTTCCCTGCGCCAGGCTGCAGGTCCCGCGCTCGGTCCGAATCTGCGTCCTGTTTCCGGGGGCGGGACCTGTGGCCGGAAGCCGGGCCGGTCACTTCCGGCGGCGCGGACGAAGGCGCGGTGGGCGCTCATGGCAGGGTGGTCGCTTATGGCAGGGTGAGCGGGGCGGTGAGCTCAGCCAGCGCTTGCGGGGCGTCTGTGCGGACGGGGAGGGGAGTGGGGAGGTTCCTCTTCTGCCCAGTTTGCTCCTCCGGAAAAAGGGCGGTGGTCCCACCTCCGTCCTGCTGTTCAGGACGCGAGGCCGAACGTTGGGCACAGGGGGGCGGCGAGAGCTAGGCCCGCATCCCCAACCTGGCACCTTGGAGGCGCATCTCGAACCACAGCGCACGGCCAGCGAAGGCCCCAAAGACGCAGGGCGCCACAAGGTTTCTAGAGAGGCGGGTGGGTGAGGGAGATGGCAGCTGGTAGGGGCCTTTAGAGAGAGGCAGGTAGGTGGGGGAGGGGGCTCCAGGTAGAGATCTTTAGAGAGAGGGAGATGGGCAGGGAAGGGGGCTGCAGGTAGGGGACTGCAGGCCTGAAGGATGTAGCACAGGGCTTCTGAGAAGCAAGAGGCTGATGTGGCTGGAATCCATGGCATAGGATAGGGCTGGAGTGGTCAGTGGCCAAATCCGGTGGACTTGGTGGTGTGTAGGGTAAATGTTCATTTTTTTTTGGCTTGTGTAACTACACTATCCCAGACTGCTGGAATTATTTCTGGCACCTGGGAGCCAGTCTTTTTCCCCACGAGATCCCTTACACCATTTGAAGACAGCGATTCAGGACCCACTAGTCATTGTCTTCAAATCTTGTCAACACATTTTGGTGTTGAAGGAGCTTTGGCTTTGTAGCCGTGGGGGTAATAACTTTTTTCCTTAGGAAAATGAATATAGAACTTTGTAAGCTTGTTCTGAGAGTTCAGTGAAGGGAGGCGTGCAGAGTTCCTGCCTGCCCACCTATTGTGAGTGGCCAATAAACTGTTGAAATCATAACTTGTCAAAAGAATCGTGGAAATTGTCTTTCAACCATTCACACAGGTTGAGTTCAATTTTACTTAGAAATGTGCTGGGCCAGGCCCTGTGGTAACTTTTGAGGCCATGGAGGGTAACTCAGGCAAGGATCTATCCTCCTGGAAGAAACCTTCAGGGAAGAAAAAAACACTCCTTGACCAAAGACTACCAACATCTGCTGCCATGAGGAAGTATGGCAGAGTGGGTGGCTTGAACAGCAGAAATTCTGTTCTGGAGGCTGGAAGTCAGATCTAGTGTGGCCAGGGTTGGTTTCTCTTGAAGCCTCTCTCCTTGGTTCATAGATGGTGTCTTACTCTCTTATAAGGATACCTGTCCTGTTGGGTTAGGGCCTACCCATATGACCTGGTTTTAACTTGATTAACTTTTTAAAGACCCTATTTCCAGCTAGTTACATTCTGAACTTCTGGGGCTTAAGCCTTCAACATGTGAATTTTGGGGGCAGGAGGGACAAAATTCAGCCTATGACATCTGCTTTCTGGCTGTGTAGCCTTGTCAAATCACCTTCTCTCTTGGGCCTCAGAGCCCCATCTCTAAAAATGGGTGGGAACCAAGGGTGCCCCTGTGCTCAGGACCCTCCGATCCGTGTGATGCCAACCTGCTTGCTCCCTTTTCCTCTCACCAGGTACTTGAAGCTGGTGTGCGCTTCCTTTCAGCGTCAAAGGTTCCACTCTGCTGTGAGTCACTGCAAGAGTCGGACGGGTGCCGAGCACTTGTGGCTGACGCGGCATTTAAGGGACCCATTTGTGAAGGCTGCCAAGGTAGAGAGTTACCGGTGTCGAAGCGCCTTCAAGCTCCTGGAGGTGAATGAGAAGCACCAGATTCTGCGGCCCGGCCTTCGGGTGTTAGACTGTGGGGCCGCTCCTGGGGCATGGAGTCAGGTGGCGGTGCAGAAAGTCAATGCTACAGGCACAGGTGGGCTTCCATGCTGCCATCAGCACCTTCTGACCACCCAGAGTGTGAGTGGGACAGCAAGCTGCCCTCTGCCAGCAGATACGCAGTGGTCGAGCTGCTTTGTGAAGGCACACGTCTAATTTTGGGCATCAGGGTTGCTTTTGGTTTTTTGTTAGTGTACACATGCAGTGTTGAATACTCTGGCCATTTATGCTTCCTGCTGTCAAGTCAGGGTACCAGCATGCACTGGCATTTCAACAACCTAGGAGAGTTGACCAAGAGATCTCCTAAATACCTTTAAGTAGGGACGTACTTAATATCCTAGTGAGAACGCTAAAGCTCAGAGGAGTTTAGTGACTTGTTGAAAGTACAGATTTAGGAATGCTGCTCCCTCAGGTTTGTACATCAGTCTCATTCGTGGTTTGTGGTAGGTTTGCAGTGAACTCTTGGTGTCTTTACCTGCGCCCCCTTGGGTGGCCTTTGCCTATACCTGTGGCTGGGATGCCTCACGGGGCTTTAGAATAGCTGTTTTTTTTTTTTGTTTTTGTTTTTTTTTTCCTTATTGAGCTGTATATTTATTGACTGAATGAATTTGTGTTGGAATGTCAGTTCATTTTCTCATCACTGAGCTTAGCATCATGGAGACCTCCTAATATCTGATTTTAGTGGTTTCTGTTCCCCTAATTGCTCTTCAGGACAAGTCTGTGACTGTACCCTTATCAACCTGTTTGTCAACCGAGCCGTGGCCATCCTCAGTGTAGGGAACTGATGGAGAGATGGTGTGCTAGGCTTGTGAATGGGGTTTCAAATGTGGGGATAGTGGGAAGAGGGGGAGGTGGGGCTGAGAGCAGTCAGAAGCAGGAAGTTTTGTTTTAGATAAGTTGAAACAGTAACATCTTTTAAATTTTATAATTAGTTTTACTCAAATATGAGCAAAGTGTCAATTTTTATACTTTATTTTGTATCTATTTCCCCGTCTTTTGGCTTGTTTCCAGTAGTTTCTACATTGAGAGGAATTGGATTAAGCTGGAAAGATTTATTGATTTAATCTAGAGGCACTTTATATACTAGCTTATAATTTTCTATTTTAGTTTATCAAAATGACCACTGAGAGATAAGAACCCTTGCACAGACAGTGAGCTGTGGGTAGTGTAGTGTGGGTAGTGATTTCAGAGTTGGAAGTCTGCCTGTCGTTCAGGATGACTCTGGGACAGTAGCCTCCTGTCTGGGCCTCAGGTTCCTCAAGTGTAGAGTGAGGACTGCCCCTCTCGCACCATGTAATTTTATAGGATTTATAGATAGTGGGAAAAGGCTTATGTGTACCTATTTGCATATTAGCTCTTTTCCTTGATCCTAATGTTTTTTTTTTTTGGAGACAGAGTCTCACTTTGTTGCCCAGGCTAGAGTGAGTGCCGTGGCGTCAGCCTAGCTCACAGCAACCTCAAACTCCTGGGCTCAAGCAATCCTACTGCCTCAGCCTCCTGAGTAGCTGGGACTACAGGCATGCGCCACCATGCCCAGCTAATTTTTTCTATATATATTTTTTAGTTGGTCAATTCATTTCTTTCTATTTTTAGTAGAGACGGGGTCTCACTCAGGCTGGTTTCAAACTCCTGACCTTCAGCAATCCACCTGCCTCGGCCTCCCAGAGTGCTAGGATTACAGGCGTGAGCCTGGCCTTGAAAACTTTTTTTATATCATCATTTGTGAAGAGCAAGTTATCAAAGGAAAGAGATAGGTGAAGGATGAAGAGAGACAGACTGAGGGGAGGGTGAAAAGTAAGTTGCTGTGGCAGGGATGGGGGTACCCACTATGTCTTTATGTGACTTCCTCTTACAGATGATGAGGCTGTCACAGAGCAGCAGGCTTTCCACCCTTGCTCTAAGACCAAAGTGCACAGGTTTTCATTTGTATTTTTGGCTATATAGTATAAAGTAGAAAAATCTGAAGTTCCCATCTGGGGATTAATTTCTGTCTCTCTGGTGAATAATATGGAAATTCATCCATTCTTCAAGCAGTAAAAGTTCCCAGAACAATCAGAGAAGACACAGTATGAATTTATCATCGGGTGGGTGTGCTTTGGTTTTTGCTGGAAATATATATTGTTGTAATACTTTAGACTTCCAAGACCATAAAAGTAATTGCCAAAGCAAGCAGTGATATGTGTTTATTTATTTTTCTTTTACTTTTCCAGGAACTTGATGCAGCTTTATAAAAGAAAATAGATTGCATTATTTTGAAGGATTTCTGTGCTTATAAGTTTTATCTTTGAAAAAAATCAACTGGTTTCTTCAAAGCCATTTCCTGGAAATGTACTTATCCCTAGAGTTGATTGACTGTAACTATGATTAAATTCCAAGGATCAGTGTGGGAAAGACTAGATATCTGGGAATCTCCATTAGGGTCCTGGGGCTTAGTCCAGCTCTGTGAAATAAGCTGGAGGTCAGATGCTTTTACTTTTCATTTTGTTTTTGGTTGCAGTCAGGTAGTTAAGTCCAGACAACCTCCTGCCTATCTCCACCGCTTTCTCCTCCCCTCCCATTTCATTCCTAGGGCACACAAACTTGGGAGTCTTGTCTTCTGGAAGAAGGAAAATTTGATGCAGAGCCTTGGGACGGGCACCTTGTTAGAGGAAAGCCAGGGATTGGGCAGTGGAGGGAGGAGGAGAGGATGAGAATTTGGAAATGAGTAAGGCACATGGGAACACTCTACCTTGAAAGATGGGCACATGTTACCTTACTGGTGTGGGGACTGACTGCTTCACGCTACTCGATTCTGCACCCTGGAGATGGAGCATTGAGGCAAGGGACCCTTCTCTGAGGGCGTGCAGAGCACTGGGAAGGTAGCGTAGCAGAGAAATACTTTGCATTTCCAGTGGGCACAGAGAAAAGCAAAAGAACCCAATAATTCAAGGAAATACCGTAGTAAAATTTTGGGAAGAGTCAAGAGTGAAAAAAAGTTTGTTCCAAAGTGGCCACCGTTGGGCACTGCTATTCCACACGTTACGGCGTGGGGCAATGGCCATAGTGGGAGAGCTCCTGCCGGAGGCGGCAGTACTCAACCGTGCCGCGGCCTGGTTCCGAGTCCTCTCCGTGCGGGGTCTCTCTGGTGTGGGAGGCTCTGGGTACGGACCTGGAGTCTCCAGGGCCCGCCGCGGCGCGCAGATTCGGTTCTTTACGGCCTGACTCCCACTGGGTCTCGCGAGAGCGCAGGCGCACGTCTCGCGATAAGCGGGCACGGGCGGAGCGGAGGGAGATCCGAGCAGCGGCGGCAAGCGGGCTGCGGCCGGCTGAGGTAAGCAGCCTGGGGAGCGCTAGCGGCCAGGGGCCGGGGGTCCCGCGGGTCCCCCGGACTGGGGCGGCGCGGCGGCGAGGGGCTGGGCTGGGTCTGCAAGCCGAAGCCTGGCACGGTGCCGCTCCTTCCCACAGTCCCCTCATCTCGCGACCCCGTGCCCCAGTTTGCACTCGCCTGGGCTGGGCCCTGCCCGGTCGTCTCGCCCGGGACACCCCGCGCCCCGGAGACCCCGCGCCCGCCGTCTCCCTCGGGCTGAGTTTCTTCTCCTTCCTCCCTGGCCCGGGATCGGTCCCCCTCCCCGCTTCCCGGAGCGTCCCGTAGGGGGGCCGCTGGTGGTGGGGAACGAGTGGAGCGGTCCCGGCTGGAGGGGTCCCTGCTGGAGGGGCCCTCAGGTGAGCGGGCCGCCCTGCAGCCGCGCGGAGGTGGCCGTGGCCCCAAGGGGCTGGGCGGCCGCGGGCTTCTGGCCCCCTCAGCACCGCGTCCCTTCACAGGGGCTGTGCGTGGTGGTCGTGGACGGGGTCCTGCTCGCAGCTTGTAGAATGCGAGGTTGCCCTTCGCGTCTGGTGGGAGTTTGGAGAGAGCAGGAAAGTTGCATGTGCCAGCTTTCCAGGCCGCTTGGCCAGGGTGACAGACCAGGGTGGCGTGAAGGGGTGTTGCAGGAAGAGGTCACCTCGGTAGTTTCTTCCGTTTTCCCGAGACCCGGGGGAGTGGAGCGGCGGTGCGCTCCTGACTCCAGCGCAGGGATCCTGTTGCCAGCTGTCGAGGTTCGGTGGCTGGGTTGCAGGAAGGTTTCAGGCTCCTGGGTAAAGAGGATGGATTTGAGCCTGTGTCTTATCGCACGTTTCCAGGTGGTAGAGAACGTAGGTGTTCTTTTCATACTGGTGTATTATCTGCGTCAACTCTGATGGGATGGCATCTCTAGAAGAGTATGTATTGGCCAAATTTTCCGTCATGTGTTGGAAAGTGTGGCCCTGGTCTGATCTTGACAAAGGGAAGGATTTGGGCACATAAAGCCTGGGTGTTACTGTGAGAGCTCCTTCTGATGGCTCTTCTCAGATGGCTAAAGCAGACAAGGGCTCTGTTTGCATCAGGCTGAGCTTCTTAAGTGGGAAGTTCAGAGGCAGCAAAGATTCTTCACTTTCTCTTTTTTTTTGTTGGGGGGGGAGGGTGTTTTCAAACAAATAGGGGAAATCAGTGAGAGACTCCTAAAGGGAGCAACAGTGTGCAGCCTGTAGGAATTCACACTTTCTTGCTTGGGACCAGTGCAGGTTTTGGGTAAAGTTCTCTGTAGTTGCCTGGCTTCAGCTGTTTTGTGGGTTGGCTTGTGGATCACATGGTACCTTTAGAGCCAGGCAGATCTAAGTTCTAATCTCAGTTCTGTAGTTTTGGGAAGCCTCAGTTTCATCATCTCTAAAATCTGTATAAAAAGACCTAATTCAGCACCCTGTTGTGCATTGAGCTGTTGTGAATAAACTTACAGAGTGTTAGTCAAACCATGTAGTGACATTAGCACCATCTACCTGAAGACCACTTACAAGTATTGACTGTAATTCTCACAATAATTTCACAAAGCCGGTCTTACAGTCCTCAGTGTATGGGTGGGGGACCTGAGGCTCTGGAAATCTAGTTGTTAGATAACTTTGTTTTTGGTACTTGGTTGAAAATAGCAGTAATATTAACGTCATTGTTAATATGTAACAATAAAAAGCATTGCTGTGGCTGTCATCATCTTTATTGCCACTGTTTCATGCCTTGTTTCTGATTCTCAGAGGCCAGGCTTCTTTGTGAGTGCTTGCGATGGTTAATGATAGGTGTCAACTTGACTGGATTAAGGAATACCTGGAAACCTGGTGAAGCATTATATTTGGGATGTCTGTGAGGATGTTTGCAGAGGACATTAGCTTGTGAGTCTTGAGTGAACCAGGTGGGGAAGACCCACTGTCAGTGTGGGCAGCACCATGCAATCTGCTAGGGGCCTGGAGAGAACAAAAACACAAGCAGTGTGTCTGTCTACCTGGTGGAGCTGGGATACACACACTTCCTTTCCTGTCCTTGGACAGCAGAACTTCGGGCTCGCTGGCCGGCAGCCCCTCAGACTGAGAGTTACACCATTGCTTCCCTGGTTCTGAGGCCTTCGCACCTAGTCTGAACCACGCTGCTGGCATCCCAGGGTCTCTAGCTTGCAGAAAGTCTGTCTTGGGACTTCTCAGCCTCCAGAATTGGGTGAGTCAGTTCCCCTAATAAATGCGCTCTCATGTATCTGCATCTGTTAGTGCTATCTTTATGGAGATCGCTAATGCAGTGCATATATGGGAGATGTGTCCTCTGACTGCTGTGTGCCTTCTTCCGGGAGCCATTTGTCTTCCTGTGTGTAGATCAGACTCAGTCAGTGGCTCGGTGGCTGAGGTTTGGTGGCATGTTTTCATGCCTCCATTTCTTCTCAGGAAAATTGGCACTATGGTCTCCCACTTAATGCTGAAGAATGTGGTCACAGACACTGGAATATTTTAAGGGCTCTGAGAGCATATTAGGAGACTGGGATTGTCCAGGGGCACTCCTGAGCGTGCAGCTGATGTCACATAGAAAGACTGACTGTGACCCCTCCTTTGTCTCCCTCAGAAGGAAAGTGACCATGGAAGACTTGGGGGAAAACACCACTGTCTTGTCCACCCTGAGGTCTTTGAACAACTTCATTTCTCAGCGAGTGGAGGGAGGATCAGGACTGGATATTTCCACCTCTGCTCCAGGTTCTCTGCAGATGCAGTACCAACAGAGCATGCAGGTGAGTGGCATGTGTTGGGTTTGGGTCTCTGGGTAGACATCTGGGCTCAGGTAGGGCTAGTTTAAGTCCTGTATAGTTGAGGCAGGTGAGCCTAGAGTTGAGTTGGTTGTCTTATGGATCTCACTGTGGGCCGTCCTCATTTTGGGGCAGTAGCTGGAGGCCCTGGACCAGGGGTACTCAAACTTTTTAAACTGGGGGCCAGTTCACTGTCCCTCAGATCGTTGGAGTGCCATTGGAGAGTGCGGCGCACATTCCACACATGCGCACTATGGGCCCGGGATTAGTTGGCTGTTAAGCAGGACAGGCAGCAGCGGCAAAAATACCTGGTGGGCAGGATAAATGTCCTCAGTGGGCTGCATGTGGCCTGCGGGCCGTAGTTTGAGGACCCCTGCCTTGGACTGTCCTGGCTTAAAGGCTTGTTTTTGTTTTGAGACAGAATCTTACTCTGTTGCCCGGGCTAGAGTGCGGTGGCATCAGCTTAGCTCACAGCAACCTCAAACTCCTGGGCTCAAGTGATCCTCTTGCCTCAGCCTCCTGAGTAGCTGGGATTATAGGCATGTGCTACCATGCCTGGCTAAATTTTGTTTTATATTTATATTTTTAGTTGTCCAGCTAATTTTTTCTATATTTTTAGTAGATACGGTGATATTGCCCTTGCTCAGGCTGGTCTCGAACTCCTGAGCTCAAATGATCCACCTGCCTTGGTTTCTCAGAATGCTAGGATTACAGGCGTGAGCCACTGTGCCTGGCCTTAAAGATCTGTTTTGTTAGCACCCTAGGAGTCGGTCTGGTGCTCAACATTGCACTCATAATAATGAACTTGCAGACAGTAATGATAGTATCAGAAAGCCACACCCAAACTGCCTAGCAAGAGCATGTCCAGCAGGCATGATGTCCCCTTGAAGGTATAACATGGGAAGGCTGTGTTGTAAACCCAGATGCCTGGTCAGCCCAGAGTGTGAGCCAGGGCTGTGAGTAGGGGCAATGGGTATTTCACAGTCTCAGACCGTGGAGGGCCATTTGCAGATGTTGGGGTTAATTTTACAGTTTTACTTTTATTCTAGTCATATTTCATGTCATTCTAAGTTCTTGGGAATGCTCACTGTAGACACAATTGCACAGAGGTGAGGTCTCCTGAAGGACTTCAGGCTCCAAAGAGTTGTGGGCTCAGTCCCAGTTGGGGCCAGGATAACTGGGACCTCCCCCCACCCCCAAGGAGGGAAATGGTGTCTCCAGCCTTGCTGAGGCTTTGTCACTGCACCAGTGGCTGTGCTGGGCTGGAAGGCCTCCTTCCCTATCCACCCTAGGTATGCCCTAGAGCTGTTTTGCTGTCAGAGCCCTGATGAAGTATGCACCATTTGGTAAAACAATAATGTGTATGCATTCATTTATAGAATAATGAATGCATACCCAGAATAATGTTACTATGTGTTTGTTAGAGCACTAAGTTGCTCACTGCCCTTTCTTGGCGAGGACTCCTTTTTTATTCTGAGATTAGGTCTTTTTTTTTTTGAGACAGAGTCTTGCTTTGTTGCCCAGGCTAGAGTGAGCGCCATGACGTCAGCCTAGCTCACAGCAGCCTCAAACTCCTGAACTCAACCGATCCTACTGCCTCAGCCTCCCAAGTAGCTGGGACTACAAGCATGCCCGGCTAATTTTTTCTATATATATTAGTTGGCCAATTAATTTCTTTCTATTTATAGTAGAGATGGGGTCTCGCTCAGGCTGGTTTCGAACTCCTGACCTTGAGCAATCCGCCCGCCTCGGCCTCCCAAGAGCTAGGATTACAGGCGTGAGCCACAGCGCCCGGCCGATCCTAATGTTTTATTTCATTATTTTGTTGCATGTATTATATTTTTGTGGAAAGATTCAGGGTGCAAATAAATAACACATTCCCTGTTTCTTAGATCCTGGCTCTCCTGTTGGCTTCGTGCTTGGGGTAGATCTTCTTCACATATTTCCTCTGGAAGGAGCAACTTTTCTGTGCCCTGCTGATGTAACTGACCCAAGAACCTTCCAGAGAGTCCTAGAACTGCTTCCTGGTGGGAAGGCAGATGTGATTCTGAGTGACATGGCACCCAATGCCACAGGGATCCGGGACCTCGATCATGACAGGCTCATCAGCCTGTGCCTGTCCCTTCTGGACATGGCTCCAGACATCCTGCACCGAGGGGGGACATTCCTTTGTAAAACCTGGGCTGGAAGTCAAAGCCATCGGTTACAGAAGAGACTGACAGAGGAATTCCAAAACACAAGGATTGTAAAACCTGAAGCCAGCCGGAAAGAATCATCAGAGGTGTACTTTTTAGCCACACAGTACCGCAGATGGAAGGGCTCTGTGAAGCACTGAGAATTTCTATACTATTTTCACAATGGTCATTAGGTTCTTTTTTTTTGAGACAGAGTCTCACTCTGTTGCCCAGGCTAGAGTGCCGTGGCATCAGTCTAGCTCACAGCAACCTCAAACTCCTGGGCTCAAGCGATCCTTCTGCCTCAGCCTCCCAAGTAGCTGAGACTACAGGCATGCACCACCATGCCTGGCTAATTTTTTCCATATACTTTTAGTTGTCCAGCTAATTTCTTTCTGTTTTTAGTACAGACGGGGGTCTCGCTCTTGCTCAGGCTGGTCTCAAACTCCTGAGCCCAAAGGATCCTCCCACTTCGGCCTCCAAGAGTGCTAGGATTACAGGTGAGAGCCACCACGTCTGGCTCTTTTTAATTATGTATGTAGTCTTTAGTGCTCTCCTAGAGAGTGGCCAGGGGATCTGAGCCGAGATTTGGGAGATGCAGTAGCATGAGTGGGGGGCCTCTTTTTTTTAATTTTTTTAAGCCAAAAAGAGATGACAAAACTAAATTCAATATCCTGACGAGACCCCATCTCAGCCATACAATAAAGAAATTATTGGCCACTGAATATATATAGAAAAACTTAGCCGGGCATGCTTGTAGTCCCAGGCGCTCTTGGGGAGGCTGAGGCGAGTAGGAATCGCTTGAGTTCAGGATTGAGGCTGCTGTGAGCTAGGCTACGGCCTGGCGCTCTGATGCCTGGGCAACAAAGCAAGACCGTCCAAAAAAAAAAAGACCTACTGCAGAAAAAAAAGGAGTCTCGCCACGAAAGCCAGTGAGCAACTTAGTGCTCTACTACAAACCACATAGTAACATTATTCTGGGTAATGCTTCATTATCTAAATATGAATGCATACACATTATTCGTTTACCAAATGGCTGCCATATTCATCAGGCTTCTGACAGGCAAAACAGCTCTAGGATACACTAGGGTGCGATAGGGAAGGAGACCTTCCAGCCCAGCCAGCACTGGGCAGTGACAAAGCCTAGGCAAGGCTGAGACACCATTTCCCTCCTTGGGGGTGGGAGGAGGTCCCAGTTATCCTCGGCCGCCAACTGGGACGGAGCCACAACTCTTTGAGCCTGAAGTCTTCAGAAGACTCACCTCCTGGCAATTGTGATACAGTAGCATTCCCCAAGGAACTTAGAGATATCATGAAATATGACTAGAATAAGTAAAACTGTAAAATAACCCCAACATCGCAAATGCCTCCCGGTTAGACTGTGAAATACCCATTGCCCCTACTCACAGGCCCTGGCTACCTCTGGGGCTGACCAGGCATCGGGTTTACAACACAGCCTTCCCAGTTAATACCTTCAGGGGACATCATGCCTGCTGGACATTGCTCTTCTAGGCAGTTAGGGTGTGGCTTCGATACTATCATTACTTGTCTGCAAGTCATTTATTATGATGCAATGTTGGAGGACACCAGGACCGACTCCCTAGGGGTCTAACAAAACAGATCTTTAAAGGCCAGGCACAGTGCTCACTGCCTGTCAAATCCTAGCATTTGAGAAACCAAGGCCAGGTGGATCGTTGGCTCAGGAGTTCGGAGACCAGCCTGAGCAAGGGCAATAATCACCGTATCTACTAAAAATATGAAATTAGCTGGACACTAAAAATATAAAATATAAACAAGAATTAGCCAGGCATGGTAGCACATGCCTATAATCCAGCTACTCAGAGAGCTGGCAAGAGGATCACTTAC